AATGATAAAAACTCTTATCAGAATGATAAAAACTTTTACCAGAATGATAAAAACTGTTACCAGAATAATAAAAACTCTTACCAGAATGATAAAAACTCTTACCAGAATGATAAAAACTTTTACCAGAATGATAAAAACTCTTACCAGAATAATAAAAACTCTTACCAGAATGATAAAAACTTTTACCAGAATAATAAAAACTCTTACCAGAATGATAAAAACTGTTACCATAATAATAAAAACTCTAACCAGAATGATAAAAACTCTTACCAGAATGATAAACTCTAACCAGAATGATTAACACTTACCAGTATAATAAAAACTCTTACCAGTATAACAACAACTCTTACCAGAATAATAAAAACTCTTACCAGAATGATAAGAACTCTTACCAGAATGATAAACTCTAACCAGAATGATAAATACTTACCAGTATAATAAAAACTCTTACCAGTATAATAACAACTCTTACCAGAATAATAAAAACTCTTACCAGAATGATAAAAACTCTTACCAGAATGATAAAAACTCTTATCAGAATGATAAACTGTTACCAGAATGATAAAAACTCTTACCACAATGATAAAAACTCTTACCAGAACATAAAAAACTCTTACCAGAATGTTAGAAACTCTCACCAGAATAATAGAAACTCTTTCCAGAATGATAAAAACTGTTACCAGAATGATAAAAACTCTTACCAGAATAATAGAAACTCTTACCAGAACGACAAAAACTCTTACCAGAATAATAAAAACTCTTACCAGAATGATAAACACTCTTACCAGAATAATAAAAACTCTTACCAGAATGATAAAAACTCTTACCAGTATAATAAAAACTCTAACCAGAGTGATAAAAACTCTAACCAGAATGATAAACACTCTTACCAGAATTATAAAAACTCTTACCAGGTTGACAGAAGAACGGATAATTGACGATTCTTTGTTGCCCACGCCTGCTCCGGCTATCTTTATATCACAGGAGTTTCTTGGAGAACATTTCTTATGGACTTCTATTCGGCCTTCTAGGTTTAAGATGCCTGGTGCAAATTCTTGTTGCATCTATTGAAGTTGAAGCCGCAATCTCTGTTGCTTCTGATACCATCTCTTGTTAAATAACCATAAGGTTCCGTAATATTAAATTTACCATCGTCAGAATTAAATGTTATATTCTGATCATTTTGGTTATCTCGTTCACAACCACAAACAAAAACCGACCCAAGTTCAATGAATGTCAGAATTTAAACCTGAAACGATACAATATATACCATCACTCATTATTTGTCCTGGTTAACCCCTCATTAACCACTTGACTGATTCTAGCTGATCAGAATCGTAAACGCCCTGATATACTTTAGATATTGAAGAAAAATAGTATTTTGCAATCTCGAGACAACGCAACTCGGTAATTTTTTTGGAATTGTTTGTAAATTATGCTGTCTAGAGGTGTGGGCACACGAGCGGTCTTGGTCGGAGAATTTTGTTGCCGATTAGAGTCTTGCCTTGTGTTTCAACGACTGGCACGGGCACAAAAATCTCCAGTCGATCGTTTCCATCTTGTCGATTATCATGTGCAGAGCATGCTAATGAAAGGAAAGGGAATCTGATTGGCTGATGACGGTCTGTCTTGCAGACGATAAAACTATCAGAGACAATTATCAAACTTTTTTAATATTATACATCCTGTGTTGGAAGCATGGGCACACGCTAGATTTTATTCAAGATTCGAGTCGGAGACAAAAATCTCCGACCAAGACCGCTAATGTTCCCCGCACCCTAAAACTTACTCGCCTCATCCCAATTAGATTGTTAAAACTAATATAAACTAATGAAATAAGTTTTACCTTTAAAACACAGAATAAATAACAGCAGGTACATTAAATTCATAAATTTCTATCCTCGTATCTTGATCTGATTTTCTTTATTGGAGCAAAGATATGATTAACAGTTTAATAATGATGTCTTATATAGATCTTCATTCCAACACTGTTTGTCCTTAAGTACTGTAATAAATAACTGCAGGTACAGTAAATTCATAATGAACTGTTTCTATCCTCGTATCTTGATCTGATTTTCCTTATTGAAGTAAAGATATGATTAACAGTTTAATAATGATGTCTTATATAGATCTTCATTCCAACACTGTTTGTCCCCAAAGTGCTGTACACACTGACAACTTTTTAGAAGATCACAAGTTATATGCTACAAAATGCACAGGTCAATAATCTCCGACCAAGACCGCTAATGTGCCCCAAAAGTACTGTACACAATGACAATATTTGGAGAGTTCCCATAGTGTTGTTAGTGTAGACAATACAGTTGTTCTTGTTAAAGGGAAGAAACAGAAAAATAGTAGTTGACATGGTGGTATTAGAAAATATAAAGAAATGCTCACTTTAATTTATCATGATTTTGAGATTCATTAAGTTCACTTCTCCTTAATGCATAATTTTGATAATTGATTACTTGTTTGGCCTAATTAATTTGCTTTGAATTTATCGCGAAATAGTCTGAAGTCGTTTCCTCGTCGTTTCTGGTCGTTTCTGGTCGGTTCATGTCGGTTTATGTTTTAGTAAGTACGGTGTATATGTCTCCTCGTCAGGGTGGCACAGGTGGGGTAACGGTGGAGGTCTATATTTTTGGAACTATATTCGCTACCCCTGCAAAATTCACACAAGTTCTCAAATGAAGCCGAAATCAGTCGCTATCAGCTATTGCCCCCCATGCAAATGCGCCGCCTCCCCCCTTGGCACATTGGACTGGCTACGGACTTGGTTCTCGTTACTCACGTAATCCGTACTTGCTAAAAATCAAACCGACCAGAAACTATTATGAACCGACCAGGGTCACCGTTCATGGGACCCTGTCTCTATATATACCCACGGCCATGTCTACATCCTCTTCTCACCTTTCCACCTTCTTTACAATCAAGATTCTTTAAATTATGGTGTAAAAAGATGCAAAGCCGGACCAGCATCTATTCTGCTGTGGCACCCCCCTGATTCCCCCGTAGAAACTCCACAGTTACTGAATGAGTTGAGATGGGAGACAAATCGTCATACAAGAATTTCACCAGGATAAAAAGTACCGTTTTGTGAATTAGAGTTTATTTGGGATTGGATAAAACTCGGCAACATCATTTACATCTCAGCAACAAAAATAATCTCGTCTTTAAAGCTAGTGTGTATAGTTCTTTAGAGATAAAAAATGTGTGATGTATGCAGGTGTATAATTCGTCAGACACCTACGATAATAATTACCTAATCATTTTACTCATTGAAGTGTTCAATTTTGCAGCATATAGATTTTGCTATGAGTTATGACGTGCACAAAAAAATCAAATTTTTCCAAAAACTATTTCCACTGTAAGTGTCCAATTTAGACCGAATATTTTAATGAAAAAAACTAAGATAACGAGTTAGGTAATAATCATTACAGGCTGTTAATACACTATTATTAAACTGTTAGTCATATCTTTACTTCAATAAGGAAAATCAGATCAAGATACGAGGATAGAAACAGTTCATTATGAATTTAATGTACCTGCTGTTATTTATTCTGTGTTTTAAAGGTAAAACTTATTTTATTAGTTTATATTAGTTTTAACAATCTAATTGTGAAGTGTCGTTTTTGTAAAATAACCTGGATCCATACAGACCCGAGGAGGAAATTCTAGAGCTGGATAGTTGTTGGTAGGTGGTAATACACTTGGGCAACAATTTGATCCTGTATACACACGGCAACATTTCGATAACATACTGACGAATATTTCCGAGAAACAGTAGATTTTATAAGAAAATTTATAAATTTTGAAGATTTGAACAGAATACGTTTGGAGAATCGGCCATAATATAAAGAATCTTGTTTGTAAAACGGCAAAGAGACAAAAAGGGTAGGTTGTATGAATGTGTATAATTCGTCAGCTAGCTACGTTGATTGCCTAACTCATTGACTTGTGTAATTTTGTAGCATATAACTTGTGATCTTCTAAAAAGTTGTCAGTGTGTACAGTACTTTAGGGACAAACAGTGTTGGAATGAAGATCTATATAAGACATCATTATTAAACTGTTAATCATATCTTTACTTCAATAAAGAAAATCAGATCAAGATACGAGGATAGAAACAGTTCACTATGAATTTAATGTACCTGCTGTTATTTATTCTGTGTTTTAAAGGTAAAACTTATTTTATTAGTTTATATTAGTTTTAACAATCTAATTGTGA